TACTAGTAGTAACAAGTGCATCGCTACTAGTAACAAGTGCCATACTAGTAGTAACAAGTGCATCGCTACTAGTAACAAGTGCCTTACTAGTAGTAACAAGTGCATCGCTACTAGTAACAAGTGCCTTACTAGTAGTAACAAGTGCATCGCTACTAGTAACAAGTGCCTTACTAGTAGTAACAAGTGCATCGCTACTAGTAACAAGTGCCTTACTATTAGTAACAAGTGCATCGCTACTAGTAACAAGTGCCTTACTAGTAGTAACAAGTGCATCGCTACTAGTAACAAGTGCCTTGCTATTAGTAACAAGTGCATCGCTACTAGTAACAAGTGCCTTACTAGTAGTAACAAGTGCATCGCTACTAGTAACAAGTGCCTTACTAGTAGTAACAAGAAGCTATCAGAAACAAGAAGCCATTAAGGACGCTGGTGCATTGTGTGGTGGACACCACCAAGTCGTCCCTTGGCCCGTACCGAGCGGGTTTGAGAAAGCACTGTCCAATTGACATAGGGGTGAATATGGTCAATGAATGTGCAGATATTGAGAAATCTAAAGAATGTGTTGGGTCAATAGGTCAATTTGTTAGGTCTTAAGATTAGTATGATCTATATATAACTATGTCTTTATACAGTTTTCTTCTTCTCTGCTCCCCGATTCAGGCCTAGCTTTTGCTCAATGGTTCCTTTTCTCATTTATATAGAAGAAAGTTTCTCCGGGAGTTCAACTCCACTTTTCAGATTGTTTGAGTGAGATTGGCGTTCGTGTCCAGATGATACCATACGAGTTAAAATAGTACCACCCTCCAAGGATGGCTCCCGAGAGATTTTATACATGCCTTTGGGGCAGCTCAAATTGAGGAGTCCGGACAGATCGAAAGTCCACCAGGTGGGCTATACACCATCATTCCTATCATGTCTAGGGGATGGTATTCTTTCGCGGATGAAGAGCACATGGACTTTCCACCTTCCAGGGAGTCACAGACTTGCACTGGAGGTTCTTGGCAGGTCCAGTAGACCTATTTTGGATGTTAGAGTGCATTCCAACCACATATACTCAGCTAGCAGCTAGTAGGCCAGGAGGGCACCTAATCCGGGATTGTCGCTAAGGTTTGTTTGGGCCCTGATCTTGCTTCTCCTCATGATGCTCGGCTGAAGGTCCAAATAAGCAGACTGGATGGATGGTGGGCACATCCAGACTGATCACAGAACCATGTTAGAAGGAAGGCTCACCAATCAACGCCTCTTAGAGTTCAGGCTGGTATCACCAGACCAGTTTGCCCTTGTGAAACGACACGGAGAATTGCAGGGAGGGTTGGGACGATCATGTTTACCTCTACCGGATGGGCATGATCAATTGCCATGTTCATTTTTGAGAGAGCCGCCACAACTCCAACAATCCTTTAGAGGTCACCTTGAAAGAAGAAACTGGAGCTTTCTGAGGCCCAGGCTCGCTCCCGTTTGCCCGGTCCCATCTTCCCTTTGAACTACAGTAAGTGCTCAGGAGGGAGGGATTTGGAGCTGGGGTCACATTCGCCATTCAATACAGGGAGTTCCCAGTGTTATTCCGTTGGCTAGTTATATAATCCTTTTTCTTTAGCGGGTCCAGTGGCTTCATTGTGCGTTTGTGTCGTTTATTGGTCTTCAACGCCGTTGTTTTTCGTTTTGAACATAGATTGGTCGCTGAGTTCAGTGTATTCCCAGTTCCTGAGCCACCGATCTGTATCACTCCCTGTCTGGGTGTTGGTGCAACTTGCCGGCTGATGAGCCAGGCTGGGTTCAACTCCTCCTCTTCCATTCGATGAGTCAAGCCATTCCCATTACTTAAGGAATTGGCCCGGGTCGCCCGGTCCACGGTCGCCCGCTCGCCGGGCTGAATCCAGCCAATGTGGCTCCGCTTTTTTCACTGTTTACCGGTGAGTCTCTGTGGCTCCGTTCGACGGCGTGTGCTGGATTCCCCGTTTGCAGATCTACATGTTTGCCATATATCATATATCTACAAGCCGCTCAAGACTTGCATTGATCCACAGCATGAACCCTGGGATGATCTCCCCTTTGAAAGTGACAAGCCATTCCCACTCCTGGCTGCAAAAAGGCCATTTCAGTTACATCCCACAAACTTTCCAGGCGTAGAACGGATCAGGCGTCTTTTGGGTGGCATATATCCCACTGCGAAGTGCTTGATTGACCAGTGTAGGACGCCCAGCTTGCCTGGCAGGGAGTGAGTCGATGGGATGGAGAACATGATTGTTTTCTGATGTTTCTTCGCCGGATTGATCGGTTGGTATATCATATGTTGTTGCTGCTGCTGTTGCTGGTGCGGGTGTTGGTGCTGGTGCGGGTGCTGGTGTGAGTGTCGGTGTAGGTGTGGTTGTGGTTGTTGTTGTTGTTGGTGGTGGTGGTGGTGGTGTTGTTGTTGCTGTTGGTCGCGCCAGCTATAACGACCCTGGGGCCTCCGAAGTCATGCGCATATCTTCCTGCGCCTGTCACGTTTTGGCGGCTACTATACTCTAGCCCGAATGGATGGCACATCCGGCTGGAAAGAGTATGATGGCACAGGTCATTTTTCGACCTCATCAACTGGAGACCCTAGAGGACCAACCCTGCGACGTGTAAGATGGCACATGGGTCACTCCAGAGTTTCCCAACCACAGACGGCAAACAATCACAACACCACAGGACTCTAAGAAACGGCAAAACATAAGGAAGGATAGGCAAGAGTCATGGTCACAACCTCAACCACAGCCTCAAGAGTGAGTGAACAGTGGCATCTTTAAGCTAAAGCTGCAAGCATACAGAGTGACAGACACGTGGACCACATGATCATTATTCAAAGGAAAATGAAAGGAAAGGATCACTTTTAAAAGGAAAATGAAAGGAAATTGTTATTTTCCAAAAGGTGCACTAAGATGGCACACTAGAGGAAGCTAAAGGAAAACGATTTGAAATGATCATTTTTTTAAAGGAACATGAAAGGAAATGATTATTGTTAAAAGGAACATGAAATGTGATAATCTTTAAAAGGAAAATGAAAGGAAATGAGCATTTTTAAAGAGAAAATGAAAGGACACTATAATTGTTTCAAAGGAAAATGAAAGGAAATTAATCTGTTTAAAAGAAACATGAAAGGGAAGGATCATTGTCTTAAAAGGAAAACAAAAGAACATTGTTATTTTCGAAAAGGTGCACTAAGATGGCACACCAGAGGAAGCTGAAGCTAAAGGAAAACGCACAGAAATGATCCTTTTTTTAAAGGAAAATGAAAGGATATGATTATTTTTAAAGGAACATGAAAGGGAAGGATCATGGGAAAACACAAGGAAATGATTATTTTCCAAAAGGTGCACTAAGATGGCACACCGGAGGAAGCTGAAGGAAAACGAATAGAAACGATCAATTTTTAAAAGGAAAATGAAAGGACATGATTATCTTTGAAGGAAAATGACAGGAAATGATAATCTTTAAAAGGAAAATGAAAAGAAATGAAAGGAAATTCTTCGATTTCTCTAGCAACTAGACACACTGGACCTCTTGACAGTTTTGTGTTGGACACGGTTCTGGACCCGGATCATTGGACGTTGTCTTTCGAGGTTCTAGGCACATCTCACGATCTGTTATACTCTTCGTGGACCACGGTGTATACAGTATCCATGCCAAATGCTCCACTGGACTAAGCCCGCTCTTGATGAAGCACACTTGGAGCCACCATTTTCGAACAAACAGTGGCAAGAGCCTTTGGCAAAAATGGGCAAACAGATGCAAACAGTGCCTGAGGTTCTGACTGCGTCTGCTTCGCGGAAGTCAAAAGACGCAATGGACCGCATGTCATGAAAACATGATTTCGACACGAAGCACTGCGAGGGTTAATGACTTCTCTCCTCAACATACGTTGTTGTCTTCTTAAAAGATGAGGGGGGCCTAAATTCAGCCAGTTGCACGTCGCAATTCCAATGTGTCTGATCTTTGTTGAGGGGCCTCGTATTGTAAAAATAATACGAAAATAACGTCATGAAAACATGAACGAAACACACAGCCCAGTGTTTTCCCATAGACTCTTCGTTTCCGGGTGCCAAAACCTCCATGGTCGTTTCCAGGGTTGTTGTTGTGGCTGTGGTTATGGGTGTTGTTGTTGTTGTTGTTGTTACTTGTGCCATCAATGTGTGATGGACAGGAGGATGGTCTATTCCAGTGGTCTTTTCCGTTCCGTCATTCTTTTTTGAAGCAGCGTGTTTAGGATCTACGTCTTCGCCATACTTTTTACGGACGCTGTCCTCGACCATCTCAGCGACATCATCGTCACAGGGACCAACCCAGCAGACATCGAGCGGATAGAGGAGATGAAAACTCTCTTTGGAACGGCCGCCGGGAGGCATTGGTTCGAAGGGGCGGTTGGACCCTCAATTACTTTTCTTTTTATCCTGAGGCAACAATGAACAAACACATCCCTTAGCTCCGTTGACTAACGTCAGGATGCGTCAGGGCTCGGGGCCCAATTGTTTGCTCTAGTTGACGAGTTGAAGGGGTACGTCGAGTTTTTCCGGAAGGCACTATGCAATGGGTTCCCGTTGTTGCGCACTTGTTTCGTGAAACTGTTTATTTATGGACGGAAAATCGAGACTCATGAACACCGAAGACTCTTGAGCCACCTATGCCTTTGAGTTTTTTGTCGGATTACTTTCGAATCTTTTTTTTCCGTGAATCCAGGGAGGATGGCGGTTTTCGGCATTCGCGTAAACCTGGCTACCTCTATAGCATGCCTGGTTAGAAGGATCTGTCGCTCCGTTGGTTTCTGCGCGTGTAGGTTTCAGGTATTTTCTGACCACGCCATGCCCAAACCCATCTAGATAATTAAAAGGATGTTTCTCCTGAATTAACACAGCATAGCTGTGAGCTTGGGCATATTCACAGCAAAGTAGCCTTCACTTTGACCCACAGCTGTACACTACCACCACGATCAAAAAATGCATCCTGACGTGGATCTTGAGACTCTGCATGGTCCCAAGGCCCCAAAAAGTCTGCAGAGGAACATTGGTGCTTGGTAGTTAGACCGAGACCTCATGAAGAAAAGGGCCGACTCGACTTTTAGCGCCTCCGAGGTCTACTTTTCCATCAGCACGCTCTTCCAGTCCATCTCGAACCCTGACTGGATGAGCCGGAACCGGGGGCGTTTCCTGCAGCAGTGCTGGGAGCAGGGCACCGGAGGGCACCGGTTCGAGGGCCTGCCTTGGGAAACTAACTTCTTGGAGCCCCTTGAGCAAGTGTGGTAGGGCAAGCATGTTGGATATAGTGTAGGTCAAACTTGGAGCCCCAACACCATGCAGCTTGAGTATCGCAGGCAGGTCAACCAAGGTATCCTGTTGTTTTGACCCACAGGCATAGTTGGTTCTGGATATGAGATGGCGATGATTGTCGGGAGGGATGGCCATTTACATTTAATCGAAGTGCTCATGTTTGTAGCCATCTGGGGTCGAAGCCAGCCGGGCCTTTGGTACACTCATGACATGTTTTCATTCATGTCATTTCTCAATTCGTTCATTTCTTCAGAGAAATCTTCAGGGTACAACTACTGTATACTCTTGACGTTCGGATGGGAATCACCGATGGTGTTGACCAGGGTTAGACAGGGTGAGCTGTTCTGTCACCGAACTCACATTCACATGCACTGGTCTCCACGTAGGAATGGCTTGGATTGGGGTGAAGCGGCCCTCGTCTTGTCCCAAGTGGGAGTTCTTTGGGTGCTCGTGCCTTGGCTTGCAAGATGGCCAGGGCGGCTGCTCTTTTTTCCCCAAACAGTTTACTGTTGGGGTTCTATCTTAGGAAAAAACAGAGCTGGCCACACTGACTGGCCGCGCCCCTGAACTCTGTGGCCGGGCTCTGTGGCTGGGTCTTGTCCTCCTCTTGTCCTCTGGCCGCGCTGACCAGCCCTGGACACACTGACTGGCCGCGCCCTTGAACTCTGTGGCCGAGCTCTGTGACCGGGTCTTGTCCTCCTCTTGTCTTCTCTTGTCCTGCTCTTCTCTTGTCGGCGAACAATTAGCGATGTCGACGCCGACAAAGATCATTGATAACGCAGTTTGCTCTTGGGGGGAAGGTAGGGCGTACCAAGAAATCGTTTAATGTTGGCCCAAACGGATCGTCTTGAAACTGTTTGGGGTCTACGCCTATGCTGATATAATTGTTAGACCCAACGCGTCCTTCAGTTTTGCACCAGCATGAACATGAAAGACATCGAAAGAGACACCTAAGCAAGGCCATTTTCTCGCAGGGACACATTTTTGTTAGAATCAGCAAGAACAACGCACCATTGCAAAACACAATGTAATTGCAAAGCACTAACTTCTGTCTTTACAGACAGCAAAAACCTCTGAAAACCAATCTGGCCACCAAAAGCGCCGAAGCATGTTGTTGACACGTGACCTGAACCCTGGACGTTGCTGACAATGACATGGGGCGACCGGTGACTGATGACCACCCAAAAATAGATGGTGGGCATTGCTAGGGCCCACCTGTAGCCTGAATGGTTGTGACAATGTTGTAGCCCAATTGTGGGCCGACCAAAAACTGGTGCGGCCAAGTGTACGTAGCCTTCTTGAGGCACAAAGTGTCCTTCTCTCACCTGAAGTTGTTGTCGTTCTACAGAGCCTGGCTGCATGTTGTATCGTCTGAATGTATCGCGGCTTTTGGGCTCACCTTTCTCTTTCGTGGCTAATTTTCTAAACAGAGCCTAAACGTAATGTTTATTGCTTGCCACATGCGCCTGTCTTCTTTGTTTGATCACAATTGTTTGGTCGCGCACGTTTGGTGGCCAAACCTTGAGCCCAAACCTGTGTGAATCTACTGGGGCTGGATGCTGGTGCCCTACCGGGTGGTATCACAGGTCTACAATTTGTACATTGCATTCACCAGCTTCGTCCTGCTGAACGTCCTGACTGGCGTGTTCTGTGGCCTTGGATGCAGCGGTGGGCGGAGAGTTTTGGATGTGATATCGAACATACGGACCTTAGATACAAAGAAACTGATTTGTTTCAAACTTACAGAGCAGTCAAAAGTTGGACGGGCATGAATGTTCTTTGCCCCAAATTAGGTCAATTCAAGGTGGGTGCTGAAGAAAGGGATCTCGCTGGTCTTGGCAAAACTAGACAGGTTCCGTTTTCTGGGCATGGCGGATGCCATTTTGCACAACATATTGTTGGTTGATAATACCAGTTGGAACCAACAGCTTGAACATGCTTCCATCAGGATTGGAAACATAGGGTCGAGAACAATGATGCAAAAGGTATAGGGTTTTCATCACAGCATGAGGCAAAATCTCCACAATCGCTTTAGAGCTGAGGAACCCAGTTTAGGCACGCACGCACACACAGAAGGGAATACCATGTATTTATATAAACAGCTTAGGCACTGGTCAGTAAAGGAAGGTCGCATCCCTCTTCACCCCCATTGAACTGGGAAAGCTTGGACTGTGACCAGGGTGAGAATAGAATAGAATAGGGAATGGACAGGAAGACATGCACCCCAAACCTGCTTTGGTTATGAGTTACGTCATCAATATTTATGTGCTAGATTGAAGATGAGTAGCTTGGAATTGTATTGACCTCTAGTTGAAGGGACGCAGCCAGTTAGCTTTTGGTACAGGGAGTGTGACTATGTGTTCACCTTTGGTTCAAGCTGTGAAAAAGGACCGCCGCTGGCGTCCCGGGTGGTCTCAGGGCTGCGCTCAGGACCGATCGATTTGCATTCACAAAAGAAGCATGCCCTGCCTGCGTTCTATTTTGTGTGATTCCTATGGCCGCATGTGGTGATATTCTTGCGCCCTCAACTCACGATGAGTCAATCCTGGAGAAGAAACACACATATCCACGTCAAACCACCGAGAACGGATAACAGGGCGGCTTGAAGTAGATCTCCAGAAAACCCACTTGTGAAGAAACATCCACGATTCTGTACGGACCCAAAAGGTTCTCAAGGACCATGAGAGCCCAACGAACCTCTAAGGGTTAGGACCCAGGTCATTCACCACACCGGTGTCCACCGCACCGGCCGCACCGGACCGGAAAGGGGCTTTCCGCTTGGCCAGGTAACAGTGCAATCAAAGCAGCGGAAAGCGACCATGAAATGGTAATTCAGCCTTTTGGGCCGAAGGTCGCGTCGTTGGCCGTCCGGAGGGATCTGAGGCGGCTGCCGCACGGGCGTGTTTTGAGCATTCAGGGAGGGTCCATTTGGAGGCCTAGACCAGCAACATAATTAACTGCGCAAAAGTAGTTAATTAATTGATGTTTGAGGTCCAAAACCTTAGAACCCCGGGTCCAGGCACCTGCAGGAGCGCCTCATTTTGTACAAAATTTGTCGTTTGGTTGACTCATCTCCCTGCCTGACAGCGGAGTCGACCATCCCGCCAGCTGCTTTCGTCGAGCATTTGCGAACTCATTAGGTCGTTGATCTACAGCAAGAAGAACTTTCAAGAGCTGGTGGAAAACCTCTTCCACAGGACTTCATTCGGTCAAGAGGCCACAATTGTGGGCCAGGTCAGGGCACCATGTGAGGTGGACCAGGCATTTGTTGCGGAAGATCATATGGCCATCATAGCCTAGCCTATGAATTTCAAGCTCTAAGACCATGGAAGAGGCATAGTAGCCACACATTTTCGACATTACGTCATTTTTTGAACCCGCTCTTGTTGGGAATGTGCAGGAGATCGTCTGAAAATGGAATCAGTCTTCTGGCTGGATTGGGGTCCAGTCTGAAGACAAACCTCACTCTCGCGGGACAAAATGCACGACAAGCCGGTCTGGACGCCCGCCTCCCCAAAGTTGCTATGCTGTTTTAATGCCGTGGATTTCTTGGTTGGGTGTTCGTTCGAGTTTTGACCAGAGGAAACCTCCCCTGTCTCAAGACAAACCAGAATCCTTTGCCCAACATTTGCCTCTGAAACGCCAAAACCCCGTACCCGCAACGCTGCACGGAGACCGCTTACCCTCGCGTCACGGACCGTTTTACGATTGTGAGGATTGATGACCTGGGACTGGGGATGATCACCATTAGCGAGTTCGAACGGCACTTCAACGATGCTTCTTGGTCCGGTCAGAGTCGGTCAGAAGCATTCCGTTCGTCGTATTTACTTTGTGGCTTCTATTTTTTCATCCGAAGAATTTGCTGGGTCTTTGAGGATGTGATTGTTTTGTTTTTGGGGCCAGAACCACCGAGCTCGATGACTCATCGCCCCTCTTAAAACAAGCAGCATCTGGTCTGTCTCCAGCATTTGTTCTGTCTCTCCATGTGTGGAGGGTCCACCAGGTGAGACGCAAGGGAGGTCCCGTTGCCGCGGATGTCGTCGCCATGCGGAGGTGCAGGTCCGTGCCTTCTTCGAATCCTTGGAGATGGGCGCAGTGGCCCCTGGGCATGGATGTGGTTGGCTCGGTCGGGCTGGGTTCTGCTTAAAGAGCTGGGTAACTGAGAGGGAGGGAGGGAGCTTGTTTGTTTCATTTTGTTGGTGTTTGCGCCCAGAGGGTTTTTGTTGTTTGGGGATCAATTATTGACTCTATATAGCTAGCATCATGTTGTTTGTTGTTGTTGTTGTTGTTGCTGTTGTTGTTGGTGTTGGTGTTGGTGTTGGTGGTGGTGGTTCTTTTTTGAGTATTGCCTCGTGTTGTCTAGATTGGCAAGAAGGCCCGCATTTTTGATGGATTTAAAGGAACATTTCCCGAGGAAACCACTGACACACCCCGGACGCGACCCTGGACCCGAATCCTCTGGAGGGGTCTGGGGTTTCTCCATGTTTCTGATCCCCAGGTGTTGAGGGACCCATCGAGCTGTTTTCACGGAGCGTCTGGGTAGGACATGGGATGGACGAATCCAACGTCCAGCAGTATCCATGTTGCACATGTCCGCCAGGATGCTTGGACCCTATTTGCCAGCTTGGACGCCGATGGCGACAACGTCATCAGCCACTGGGGCATTGCATGGTATTGCAGGTCGTTGACTCGGGTCGTTCTGAGGCGGCAGAGCAGCCTTTTCCTATACTGCTGCAGAGGTTTCTGGGGTCCATTCGTCCAGTACTATTTCTAGTGTGCAGTACACTTTTACCAGGACTTGTTTTGAGGGAGGCAGTCCCTGGTCATTCCACTGCTGGTTGTATAGGGACATACCCAATGTATCCCAATGTCACTCACTTTGGTGTTTGATGATGTTTGATTTGTTACGCGTCCTTTTGTAAACCACCCCCAATAGAGGACTCAGGACGAAATCACCGTGTCCGAAAGAAAGCACCGGTCGCACGGGGCTAGGATCGGGACCGGACGGGACGACCGGAAGACCCTGAGGCTTGCAGGACTTCAGCGAGAGATGCGTTCAGTGGCTCGGATGCGAAGAGAACCCACGGCTCGCCTCGCGCGGACTCGCGCGCGCCGGCGCGTCCGTCGGAGCGACCTCCGGATGCGATGGACAGCCATGGCGCATCCCCGAGAAACGTCTGTTCCCATTTCCGTTCTGTGGCAGGACGGCTCAGTGATGGTCCCAAGACGCGTTTTCTTTCCACATTTGGAAATCCCCACAACGTCATAGTCTATATATATAAATTGATATGAAATTGAGGGATCTGAGTCTGGCTTTCCATTTCTTACAATTTCTTGCTATCATACACTTCAGCAGACTGCCAGATCTCCGATATTCATTCCTACCCACCAAGTAAGTGTGTGCTTCACCTGAAAAAAACTCCTTGGCATTGATATTTTCCCAAACTGACTGAACAGCTCTAAATCGCCTGACCGAACCAAATCGAACCCTTATGGCACAACCATGGGCCGGGGCACCATGGTTTGGGAACCTCCCAAACCGGCACCGGTTGTGCGGCCTCAGGCTGCATGGGCCTGCTCGCTCGGTAGACCTGTACTCCCTGAAACAGCTCACTGCTGCCTGGTGTCAGGGCGGTCAGGGCGGTCAGGGCAGTCAGGGCGGTTGGTGGTTTCGAGGAAAAAGGTGTTGATGTTGGATGGTGGTCGTGAGAGAGTTCCTGATCGCTGTAGAGGTGGTTTTGAGAGGCTGAAGACAAACCATTTTGAGGCTCCCGGCTCCTGGTGACGTTGTGGATGTTGTAGAGAGTATGGTGACCGGGACCAGCTTGTGACATTGTGTGCCAGGACTCGTCAAGACCGGTGGTTTCTGGACAATAACAGGTGGCTGATGTGAACTTAGTAGCACCAGAAAACACCGGTTCGAGGGTCAAGATGGGTTTCAACATGTTTCAACAGCTTGCATCAAATTGCAACATTTTGATTTGTGGAGTCGATTCCGGCGATTGCGGTTTCAAAATTGTCGGTGTTGTCATGGGCATGAACTCTGAGAGCAGGGAGAGCAGACACTCGATTCATCATAACTAGATAAAACGTCCACATGTTGAAGTTTCTTCTGGCCATAGATTTGGCAAAGATTAATTCATGTGATCCAAGGAATATCATGGAATCGACAGTTTTTGTGGACATAATGAGAAAAGCACACGCACACACACTTAGATCCATGCTCGCAAGAGCTAAATCAGTTTGGCAACTCCCATGCGTTAGGCCTTTTGGTGAATACTTAGCGCTTGACTTGAGGGAACGGCAGGAAGTGCTGGGTCGGTCAAACAGAAGGTTTCAACAGCTCGCATAAGCATAAGCCCTTTACAAGGAGAAGTAGGGTGACAGCTTGTGAACATCACAAACGGAAACTTAAATTGGTGCAGGTACGTCAGCAAGCATCCTTGCTGATATCAGCACAACCTGAAGAGCCTCTTTGTTAGATGCCCTCTTTTCAGGTGTGGGGCATCCCCCTGCAGGACTGTACAGAGTTTGTATAATCTCCTTTGGAACAGGAGGGGACACACACACACAATTAGCCGATATCGGCGCTCCCTGAATTCTCACTTGTGTCATTAGGGGGGAAGTGCATCGACTAAACGAGCCTAAACGCAACCTAACAAGCCTGAGAGAAAAAACAAAACAAACGAAAGAAGGCAAGGAGAGAAAGGGTGCAGGGTGCGTGTGGGGTGGGGTAAAAGGCACGGGCCCAATGGCACTAGCCAGAAAGCCGAAATCGGTGCACCCTTGACTAAACATTAACATCACACCTAAAAAGCGTCTAGCAACGAACGAAAACCTGGAGAGAAACGAAAAATCCTAGAAGGAGAAAAAGAAAGACCGTGCATGAAATACTCAGTGTGAAACGTAGAAATGAATACTTAGCACTTGGTTAAAAGTCAACCTGGAACCTAAAAAGCCTCTAGCAACGAAAGAAGCGAAAGAAGACCTAGAAGACGAAAACAAAACAGAACGAGAGAAAGCAACAAAGAGGCGAATACTTAGCCGCATGTCATGTCATTCTGTAACGAGATGTCAGTAAGCTCTGCAGCTTGATATCAGCGATCTCAAGCAAGACGCAGAGTCAGTAAGTGGTCAAGCAAGACGATGAATCACTGACAATTCCCCCTTAAGGGTCTATGCTCAACACGCCACACAGCATACCGCAGTGGGACGATGCTGCGAAACACACTTAGATCCATGCTTGCAAGAGCTAAATCAGTTTGGCAACTCCCATGCGTTAGGCCTTTAGGTGAATACTTAGCGCTTGACTTGAGGGAACGGCAGGAAGTGCTGGGTCGGTCAAACAGAAGGTTTCAACAGCTCGCATAAGCCCTTTACAAGGAGAAGTAGGGTGACAGCTTGTGAACATCACAACCGGAAACTTAAATTGGTGCAGGCACGTCAGCATGCGTCCTTGCTGATATCAGCACAACCTGAAGAGCCTCTTTGTTAGATGCCCTCTCTTCAGGTGTGGGGCATCCCCCTGCAGGACTGTACAGAGTTTGTATAATCACCTTTGGAACAGGAGGGGACACACACACGTCTGTATACTGTATTCTATGAAGTACGAATACATACTATGGGATCATTTTTCCCAGGTTGTTCCCCCACTCATTTGAACTTTGAACAACAAATCCAAATCAGTTTGAGTATACAGGAAGCAACACCTCTGCCGATACGATACCTTTTGCTGAATGCAATCCGGTCGAAGAATCCTCTCATGTTTCATGCAGAACTGTTTCCAGTTTCTTGATGAATATTGTGATTCAATCCCAAGATGCACACATATAATATCAAATAATATATGTATATATGCGCTATATGCGATATCCTATAACACAGTTCCCAATCAAGTCAGGTTGGTCTTTGGCCGTCTTGGGCCATCAGTGATGCAGAAAAGGGCCAGGGGCATCCCTGCCCACCTCAGGGAACGCCTGTCATCACCTGTCCATGCATGTCCATCCACGTAGTCAGACGAGGCCAAGCTGCGGCAGGAGCTGCAGCTGGTCTCTGACGCGTTGCTGCCGGCGGGCGACCTGCGCGGCTCGACGCGGGGCTTGAGCAAAGAGCGTGGCACCCGTCGAGTCTCGCCTCCGATGGTGACCCTGGCTGCAAAGATGCAAACCATGGGAATTGGGATGAAGGCGGCAGAATCAATCAATTTAACGATTCTTAGCATGAAGTCATCATTTATCTCTCTCTATATAATATCTATACTGATATAGTCACTTAGTTCCAAAAGACATAAACTCCGAATCCACAAGATTTGGGAGTTTTTTCCTGCTCCTCAATGGTGCTTTTTCAACGACATGTTGATCAACGTGAGTTTGTGAGTTGCCTCGATTTGCGCTTTCGATTTGGAGCATCTTGGGTGATCTCCAAGAAGGGCATCTCCGGGTGAGCTCAGGTGGCGACCGTCTCCGACGAGCAATCCAAGTCGCCCGTCGAACTGTGAACCACCGGTGATGCGGATTCGGAGTTTTGGAGCGGCGCCAGTCGACTGTAAACAAAACAGGGCCGCAATCTGCTTCATGCTGGGTGAAGGCGGACATATTCTGGAACAGCCCGGGCTTTGTTTCCATCGATTGCCATAGATGATGATTTCAATGATTTCTTTTGTTCTGGTTCCTGGGATCGCCGGTGTTTCTGCTTCAAAGCGCAGCGATCGCTGGAGTTCGCGTTGCAGGATGTTGCAGCGATTTTTCGGCGCTTCGTCAATGGAGTTGGTGGAATCGGTAGCTGCATGGGTTTACCAAAGGCTCCGTGGCTTCCATTCGAGGCTTCAAGAGACAAACGGATGGAACCCGGAGGCAAACCGAGTTTTGGTCGCTCGAATGTGCGAGCACACCGAACAAGGGTGATTGACATTTCGATTGGAGAACAGAGGTGTTTGGAGCTTCGTAGCTTCGTAGCTGGGATGTTCTTGCGTTATATAGTGGTCCCCAAGCAGATAGTGACCACGGTGTCCAATACACCTTTTTGAGGGATCTACTTTTCTATCTTTTTTTAGTGTAAACTTTTTCTATCTATTTTGGGCTCTATTTCATTGGAGAACAATGAGGATTCTGTGTGTTAGGTGGCATACATCTCTTGTTCATGCTCAAATGGCTGTTTGACCTGAAATGACCCGAGTCTCTCCGCTCTCTGCGGCAGCGGCCACCGAGAGACCGATGAGACCTGGAAAGTCTCGTCTCAGGCCCCGGGAGCCGAGTTCCGCTCTCGACCCACTGACGGTGACGGTGAAGAAGCTAAAAGATCATCTGATCAACCGTCGAAAAACTCGCGTCGCTTCGCTCGGTTTTTGCCAGTTGATGCAAGCAGTGAGCATTTTTTGGCCCGTCAGGAGTGATCGGTCCTGTTCAGGCGGATTCCACGAGAACCACGGACCGGAGACCATGGACGGCGCACGAAAAAACGGAACGGAAACCCGGTGGACCGACACATGGAGGCATGGTGGTGTTCGGTGCGAAGAGGAGCGCATAGCGAAGTCATGTATTGGGACATCAAAGTATCCAAAGCATTTCAAAGTGGGGTTCGATGATGTTCGATGATGTCAATATGTTGTCCCACGTGAATCATCACGTATTGAATTGTACACCCTACCGTCCCTTTGAACTCCATCTGTCCTGTTTTGTTCGATACCATTGAATTGATTTGTGCTGGGGTGCTGGAACAGCAGTCTTAGTTTCGTGGACCGCGGCTTCAGCGCAGTAGAACACGTCTGACAAGATATTCCTAGGGCACTGACGTCCAGTTCGAAATTCATTTGGGAACGCTCACCAAAGCAAATATCATTGATTATTAACATAGATGTTGGAACTCGGCCCAGCCCTTCTTTTTTTCGGCTTTCGGCTATCGCCGAAGCTCACATGGGGCAGCGGGGCGCTGCGCACGAATGCCTACGAGGTCGGACGAGAAGGAGAAGGAAGTTGAAGGTTTCCAGTCGATGGTCAGGTGCCATGCGGAAGAGCCCTGCAATTATATAATGTACATATGTATATACTGTTTACCTCAATTATAGAAGAAATTGCGGCTATATATCTTCTATTTGAAATGCATCTGGGAGGGTGCCATCCGTACCATTCAAATAGAAGACCCCATTAATTATTTGATTAACAATGATCAAATTTTTGGTCTTTTGAGCTACTTTTGCATTTTGGACTTTCTGCTCAAAAACATATATCTTCTATTTGAATGTGGCTTGGTGGGGTGGATCTTCTATTTGAAAATGATCTTCTATTTGACTTTCCTACCGGGCCTTGCTTACTGTTTTAGTCTTCGGGGGTTCTGATCGCCCGCCTGGCCCAAGAAAGCATGTGGCGGCAGGTGCATTTATATATATATATATATAGAGCTAGCAGGCAGTATAGACAGAGCCAGCAAGTAGAATAGATAGAAACCAAAATAGATAGAGCTAGAATCTTTATCAGAGCTCAGAGATGAAATAGAAACCAGTGTATATATATAATAATCCAACAAATACTAAAAGCATTACCAATTATATACAAAGAGATTGCTTGCAGTTGGAAAAATACCGAGCGCAATTCAAATAGAAGATATTACTTAATTAATTTTGTGTAAACATTCGCCCACCAAATAGTTAAAACTAATATCTTCTATTTGATGTTAATTTATGTTCATTTATATCTTCTATTTGACTTGTTATGTGCGCGCTTGATGAGTCAATGGTAAGGCATCCCAAAACACAAAAAAACTGCAGGTTTTTTTGCAATGTTCTACCAGTCCAGACAAAAATGGTCATGTTGCAAGAGTTGCTCCCTATAGGCCGACATAGGGTGCAAAAATCCAAGAATTTTCCGCCGGCTAGCCCGAGTCATGTTAGAGGCAAACAAGCAGGATTTGCTGTAAATACCAGTGAAATGTCGCTTCCAAACTCCTTCAAGAGGTTTTGACCAAGAAACGCCAAATTTGATCTCAGGAGCTACCTCTGCGACTGTATATATCTTCTATTTGACACGTTGCCTGGGCACCCCCAACTCTGCATCTTCTATTTGAATTAATTCCCGAATATCTTCTATCTTTGCGGTAAACAGTATATATATATATTATATTCTAAATATATTTATGCATGTAGGCGTTTTGTTCTTGGGGGGGTCTCGCCACACATTTTAGGTCTTTGCTGGAGCGACAGCTCACCTCACACTCAATTGATAAAAGTTGATGGAAGCTTTGATGCTCTTCAAGTCGCTTGGTGCGGCTTTCTTTCCAGATTTTAGGGCCCCCCGTCAGACCGTGCTGCTTCTCCCAACAAGAGGCCGAGGATGTTTTTATCAAACCTGGATCAAGCGCGGTGGTTGAATGATGGGAGTTGCGCCTGTCTGGTCGTATTTCATGTTGGGGTGTTCCCTCAGCGGCAAAGACCCCAAAATGGTTCAGTCCTAGCTGGGCCTAGCTTGAAGGCTTGACCCACAGACAAGGAAGAACCACACCTTTGACAGAAGCGGCCATAGGCGGCCTTTTTCAAAACAGCTGGATCAGCTGCTCTATTCCGTCCTGCCTTGGGGATTTGAGACCGATAATTACTGCATAGAAAGGGCCGATCCTTGTGGTAAAAAAGGGGTTTCTTGGGATCCAATGCAGAGTGATTCATTGGGAACTTTGAATCAACCACTTTTACTTTGGATGATTTCAGCAGAACAACGACCGTTCAGTGAGACACAAAGCATCTTCGCGAAGGAAATCCTTTAAACACACACATCACGGTGTTTGATTTTCAAAAAGAAATCGAACACATCCATAATATATGTACTGTATAATATACCTGAACCAGTAGACAGTCAATTTAAGCTGACCGGAACCCGTCGAGTTTGGCCGACCCACCTTCTCCGGCAGAGTTCGAGGGATAGTTCGAGTGAGACAGGCACCGTCGACGACCTCGTGGGCTTGGGCTGTTGATAGACGTTGCAACGATCGCAGCCGAAGGCTTCGATCAATCTTTTATAAGTGAAAAGCCGCAGATCCGGAGTTCACTTTTGGAGTGATCAGGAGAATGTCAGGAATATCTTGGGTTGAGGAGCGGAAGAGTTCCAGCTGTGGGTCAAAACACGGGCACCCTGGTTGACCTGAACATGATCAGAATGCTCTATAAGTTGCAAGGATCTATAAGGGATATGTCAACCACCATGGTTTGGTTGGCAAGGTGACAAGGTGTTGACTCACAGCCATATGGAACTACGTAGTCTGGGTGTGTCTAAACTTGTCTCATTCCACATTCTGTTTGCCTCCTTCCCTGCAAGGACAGTTGGATTTGTCTCTTGTGATCTCAAAAGGATACATGGCTAAACGGAGCATTCGATTGATCATGCAAAGTTCACTGCTGAGATCGACCGAAGAGAGGCCGAAGAGAGGCTAGGGCATGGGCCACGTGGGGCTTTCGTAGATTGAGAGACGCTGGTCAACAACCCTTCGAGCTTGGAGCTGTGAGGTCTGCGGTCTGCAGCGAAAACGACCACGTTGTTCTGGTCGTTGACATGTCGTAGTGAGCGGTTCCGCTAGGGAGGCGTAGATGTGGGCCCACTCCAGTCCAGGAGTTCAGAACGCAATTCTTTGTTCTGGCAATATCAGTTATACTTCAAAAGGCTTTGTTTATTGTCTTGTTTATCTTGCCAATGGAATTGACCTGACAGATTTGGTGACTTCGAGGCGTGTGATGGCCGGTAGGACGTGTGTGGACAACCCGCTGGACGAGCCGACTCTGGTTGCGATGTGCTAGGACGACCAGAGTTGATGACAAAGGACGCGTTTGAGGGCCGCATTTGCGCCGAATGGCAAGGGGCGTGTTTGCTAAGTTGCAGGGCTTGGGTGCTTCCTAGGGGACGACCAAGGAGTGTTTCATCTACTTTTGAAGGAACACCTGCAGCATAGAGACCCATTGGCATCTCCAATTCACTGGAAACACAGAAGGTCGAGATGTGGAGCACTTCCACGCCTTTTGTGAATAGAGTTCCTCTATCTATGGAGATTGGAAGTTTTCCGCGGCCGTGGATGGAAGATGAGGAGTCTTACGGAGTCAACCTACCCCGATGTGAGTCGATCTGGGGTCTTCTACAACAAATCTTCAATGCTCCGACCCCGACGGTGTTTCGCCTACTTACTAACCTACTGTATATAATGGTAGTAACCACCTATAGAATCGTATAGTACGTCATAACTACATGTTCAGTTTCTAGGGCTTCAAGTTACCTTCTTCCCACATCAAAGCGATTCGTTGAGGTCACTCATCCAGACCGCTGAGGCCGACCGCACTGCTACCGACCGTGCGGACCAAGTCGGAGGTGGTGCAGCTGGATCGCCTGTCGGTGCCTTCGCCGAAGAGCGGGTGAGCTCAGGGAGCTGAGCTCGGTGAGTGCGTGGCAGGTGGACCGGAACAGCTCAGCTCGGTTTTCCGTGTTCGGACGAAACGGTAGTGATTTCTGGTGGAAGAGTACTGCATAT